CCGGGGGGGGAAGCTCAGTCCAGCGAGCGGGGCTGCGGACTGTCCCCGCGGGGCCGTGCGTTACCGAACTCCTCAGCCGCTTCCCGGCGGCTCCACGGAATGTTCCGGGGCTTGAAGTTAGGCCCCTGGGAGGCTTAACTGGCCGCCATCTCTTGGAGTTGGAACTCGGAGAGCTGCGTGGCTTTATTTTGGGAAGCTGAACCTGCCGCGGGGTCGTTGCCGCTGGCGTTAAGTTTCCTGGGAAGCTCTTGCTTTTGTCTTATGCACCCAAGCACCCGCGTTTTGTCCTAGTTAATCTGTACACAGGAGCGTTTGAACTTGGAAGTGTTTTAGCCTATGCTTTATTTACTGCGATCACGTCATTCCCCAAATCTGAAATAATCGTTCTACGCCTTTTTTTTTTTTTTGAATGGGGTGTTGAACAAATACACGTGGATATAGTAGAGAGGGAGAGCTACAGGTGGGAATAAACAGCTGGGGACAGGAGGAAAAGTAGGACTGTTCCTTTAGATGGCAGTGCCACTTCAGTATCAGTTTAAAGTGCTTGTTGGAACTACACTGTATATTTCCTGAAATAGTCTTTAAATGCTATGCTGTCAGAGTGCTCTTAAATTTAATGGGCTTTTTTTCTGTATGACAGCCAAGCCCATTTCTCATACATGTAAATATTGTAAATACTCTTCTTTGGCCCTGGAATACAAGAAAATGCTAACCGTTTTCCTTTGTAGTGAGCTTTCCTCTTGTTTCTCGCTGCAGAAAACTCCCACATCTTAAGCTGTGAATCCCTGTTGAGCTGCAGCCTTTAGTTCTGCCCCGCATCAAATTTTTATCGCCGTTAACAGTCAGATATGGAAGCTGTCCTGAGGAGGAGGAGAATTGAAACAGAGGGTGCTGAGAGACAGAGGAGAACATTCACCCTCACAGAAAGGTGTCTGTGGCCCCTGGAATATTGATTCACTGCATTTTATCTAAGTTGGTGGTTTGCTGAATAGATAGGATAGCCAATAAATGTTATTCTGGTGCTCTTTTGATTTTTGTATGTATTTGGTGAGCAGTCGTGCCTCTTGCATCGAAGTATGGTGTGCTATCTTGTGTTGTGTAGCCTAGTATGGAGCGTGAGAGAAAAACTAAAAATCTGACTTTCATTAATCTTCTAGATGTTGGGGAAATCTATTCAAGACTACTGGATCACAGACCAGTAATTCAGGGAGAAATACGTTACTTTGTTAAAGAATTTGAAGTAAGTATTTGTATCTTATTGGGTGCTGTAACCTTCACAGTCTGAGACTTTAAACAATCTTAGCATCTTTTTAGAAATCATAATATGTAAGTAATTTGCTTCAGAAAGATTTGACATGCATTTCTTGCCCCAAATGACTAACACACCTATAGTACATGTCTGCATCTTCAGTAAACAAGGCAGTAATTTGGGTCTTTTTATTTAAAAAGTTTCGAAAAGGGCATAAATATTTTTCCTGTGAAAGACTGGCAGGAATATTGATGTAGGAGAATGATGTAGTCCTAACATCTTAGAGAAGTCTAGTTGGTTCAAGGAAAATATTGTTGGCCAGAACAGGATTACATCTGGGTTAAGAAACCGGCTTGTGCTTCAGCTGGATTCAGCTGGCACAGTTGTAATTTAATTTTGCTTTGATTTTTGTTCTGTGAAAGAAAGTAATATTACTGGAAGAGAAGAGCAACACTTTATGCAAAGTAAGAAAATCATTAAAAATTGAATGAATGTTATCTGATTGGCTGCAAATAAGGCTAAAGTACTGAATGTGTAAAAGTGTTTATATATAACTTTACTTGGAAAGTTTCCACAAGATGGCAGCAAAAATTTAGAAAAGTAAAATTATGTGTCAGAAAAAGGCTATATCTAAGAGTAGGTTTTCATTCTTGAAGAATGTGGGATTTTAAAATCTTGAAATTAGTCCTGCAAATATAGTTATACCTCAAAATTCTAATGTGCAGAACTGGTTTAAAAAAAAATTACATTAAAATGTCTTCCCCCACCCTGATTGTAGCTAATATTTCAGCCAGGTCTAATTTGTCTCCATGCTGGTCTAGCAAAGTAAGTAAGTGAACTAAACTCTCATCAGATCTGTATCATATGGGCTTGAGAATCATAAGGAATGGTTTCTTTTCTTTGCCTTCCCTAGATAAGTTATAGGATACAGTAAATAATTTTATGTGACTTTTCATAGGAAGGAAAATTTTAAACTCAATTACAAAATTATAACTAAATTCATATATTTCTCTCATTGCACTCAAAGTCATCTTCTATTTCTTAGACAAATGTCATATATTCTTAGATCTTTGCTTGAAATTTAAATTCTGGTTTATACTTTTCGGGGGGAAATCGCAAAGCGGAGGATTATTTACATTTTAGCAACTTAGAATTTCTTCCAAAAATTACACTTGTTTGTAACTTTGAGATACCAGATATTTTTTGGTAGTAGTAGGACATACGCTTTTTCTTTCAATGATTAGTGTCAAGCGTGTAAAGAATGTAGATTAGCATTCAGGAAGTCTGGACCCTGTTTAATTAAGTGACTTGATTTGTCTGTGCCACAGTTTCTGAAGGTTTAAAATTAGTATGATGATCCAATTGCCCACTTCAGGTGATGCAGTATTTTTTTATTATTTAGAATTGCTTTATGATTAACATCTTTCAGTAGTGTGCAGCTCTACTCGTGTGTACAACTGCTTGTGTGCAACTACTTTCCCCCTGAAGAGGGATTTTTTTTTTTTAATGTAAACAATAAAGCAAGAGCTTGTTCTTCTTGTAATTAATAATGATCAGCAGCAAGCCAGAAGAAGGCCTGCCTTTTTAGTCAGCTGTGTTATGTTATCTTTTAGTCTTGACTTCATTGGTTTGCTTCAGTAAAAACAATTTTACTTGCATTGTTTTAACCCCGTCTGATGCTAAATCTGGAAGGTCAGATATCAAGCAAGCAGAATCAATGCTACGTTATTTCTCCGTAACAATTGGGTTATAAAAATGCAGTGCTCTCAAGCTCTGTTTCTCTCTGTTGTTTTTGATGTGCTCTAAATTACCTGTACAAACAACACATTTTTCTGCACAATGTTTTTATTAGTAAATACAACAAAGACCAGAAGCATCATTCGAAGTATTCCTGTATTTTAGTGTGAAGAATGGAGCATTACTCTCTCTTTTCGCAAAACTTATTTTATCAATTGCGCTAAATAAGTAACACTTTAATAGACAGCGGTATAGTCTTTGAGATAAAGCTATTAGTTTATCAATTGGGAAACCATCTTATTTTGGAAAGTGGAGTTCCTTGTTAGCCATTCATTTTCTTTCAATTCTTCTGGCAGGAAAAACGTGGCCTCCGAGAACTACGAGTACTTGAAAATCTAAAGAACACAATCTTTGAAACAAATGAACACGTTCTTCCTAAGTGTGAGCAGGCAATGCATGACAATCTGAATGAAGCATTCAAGAGATGTAAGCAAGTTGCTTCTTATTTCCCTTGTTGTATCATTTTGAGGAATAATATGGGTTCAGAATATGATTTGTGGAAAAATTACCATCCTTAGATAAATTTTCTACCATTTATGTGCTTTGTTCTCATTTATGTGAAATTTTAAAAGGGGAACAACGGGGACATTCTTTGCTATTTATTGGTCCAGCCAACACACCTTTTGCTAAGGTTACATTAAAGCTTTTTGTTGACTTAAGTAGAAGCTATTTCAGCTCAATCTTTTACAACTCGCTTAGAAACAGGATAGTGCTCCATGTTGGCTAAAGCCATGGACAAAATTTCGGGTTTCTGGTTTGTTGCAAGCATGCTGTGATGTGACCTTCAAGTTTTTTAATTTTCCCACAGGAGGGCATAATACTGTCCCCTGTGATTTAAAACAAAACTTGCTGGTGTATAGCTATGAAATGTGCTATTATTATTATTATCTTTAGTCACAAATAGGGTAGTAGTAATAATTATTGTATGCTCATCCTAGTTTCGTAGTTACAACCATCTAATATTTTTTATTGCTCAGATTTTAAGAGTTTAAAATTTGTGGCACTAATTTTTCAGTATCTTTTTTTT